GGGGAGCAGCCAGGAGACTATTTATCTCCGTAAGGGGCCTCTGTGCTCCCTGCTGCCCAGGGGGTTAGAGTGCCCAGAGATCCCCAGATTCCCTGCTTCTGGTCTAAGTGACCTGTCCTGCCCCTTTAAGATTTCCAAAAAGCACTCTCCAAACCAAAACAACAACAGCAACAATGAGAGAGGGAACAGAAAGGAAAAAAAAAAGAAAAAACACGCGTTTTTTTTTTTTTTTTCCTCAGGTGCCGGTCCCAGGCACCCGCTCACTGGTCCTGCTGCCCTGTCTCCCTAGCACCAGGGTCCCTGTCCTTTCAAGGCTTCCAAAAAGCACCCACCCACCGGTCCCGCAGGGAAGGAACGCTCAATATTCTTTGTCCTCAGGCACTGGTCCCACGCACCCGCTCACCAGTCCCGCTGCCCTGCCTCCCTAGCACCGGGGTCCCTGTCCCTTTTAGGCTTCCAAAAAGCACTCGCAGAAAAGAGAAAAAAAAAAGGGGAAAAACGCGCGATTTCCTCTGTCCTCAAGTGCCGGTCTCAGGCACCCGCCCACCGGTCCCGCAGGGAAAAACGGGGGATATTCTTTGTCCTCAGGCGCCGGTCCCAGCCACCCGCTCACCAGTCCCGCCACCGTGCCTCCCTAGCACTGGGGTCCCCGTCCCTTCAAGGCTTCCAAAAAGCGCTTGCCAAAAAGAAAAAAAAAAAAAGGGGAAAAACGCGCGACCTCCTCCGTCCTCAGGCACCGGTCTCAGGCACCCGCCCCCAGGTCTCGCAGGGAGAAACGCGGGATATTCTTTGTCCTCCGGCGCTGTTCCCAGGCACCTCCTCACCGGTCCCGCCACCCTGCCTCCCCAGCAACGGGGGCCCGTCCCTCTAAGGCTTCCAAAAAGCGCTCGCCAAAAAAAAAAACTGCTCCGGTTTCTCTCCACCCGCCGGGAGCCGGGGGGAGGGGCGCTCGGGTCCCGCCGGGCTGGGGCTTGTATCTTACCCCCATCGCAAGGCGCTGGGTTCTTGCAGGTGTGGATGTGGTCTGGATGTTGTCCTGTGTCCTGTGGTCTCTATTTTAGGAAGATTTTTCTTTGTTATATTTTCATAGCTCTATGTGTTTTTGGGAGGAGATTTCCACTGCTCTACTCACGCCGCCATCCTGGCTCCGCCCCCTCATTTTTCTTTCTGTTTTTTTTTCTCTATTGCAAACTTGATGTCAAATGAGAGTTTTGGAATGAAACTTCTAGATGAATTCACATTTATTTTTTTCTTTGGAAATGAAATACTGGAAAAATTGGCTTATTGCTAATTGCATACACAGTTTTAAAAGATTTTTTTAAAGAAGTAGGAGTGAAATAAAGTACATCACATGTAAATATACCCTATTAAAATTTATCCTTTGTCTTGACAACTTTAGATATTTAATAAACCACTATGAAAACCCAATAATAGGATACATATGTTTGATTCACTCAACCCATATGTTGAGTACTTACAGTGTACTGCTCTGATGTTGTTTTACAGTTTACAAATACTTTTATATGCATTCTGTCCTCTCCTCCAGACTTCAACCCACTTTATAGATGAGTAAATTGAAGCTCACAAACATAGTTGAACTGCACAAGGGCCAGTGGTAGATGGTAGAAGCCTAATGGGCTCCCTTTTCTTTTTATAACTGTACAGTTATATTGTAAAAACCAAAGCTAGGACCCATGCGTGTAAGAGTAGACATAAGGAATTGACTGGATTTTCCAAGCAAAGCCAGAATACCCACATCCAGACAAAGATTGATAGAGTGCTTCTTTTTATGGGCAAGTAACCCGGGATACAAGAACTTGCTACAAAAAAGTGAATTACTGGGGGCCCTCCCCCTCCCCACTGGTCAATACTGACACCGTGCCTGCCCCCCAGTGAAGTATCTTAACTGTTCTCACAAGAAGTGCTTAGCTAAATTCTCTGGAAGAAGTTTTTCATGGGAATAATTCTCTGACATTATAAGTAATGGAAAATGGAATTTCCTTTACAGATCAATTTTTTTATAATACATTTTTTTCATAGATGTATTATATTTTTTGCTTAAAGTGATGGAAGCCTCAGTAAGGATTGTTTAGTTTTTTTTTTAGCTACAAAACTCTAACATCAGGTTTTGAATCCTTGTTAGTATTCATCTCATTAAAATCACCCATATATACTTTTTGCAGCAGTCCCAGAAGATACGGTTTTTTACTTGCCAAAAGATTCACTGAAAAATACAGATAGCATTTCAGAACAGGGACTTCCATTTTCCTAGTACTCTTTGACTTAGGCCTGCCAACTTTCTAAAGGCAAAGAAGTGCTTTTTTAAAAAATAAATTAAGATGTGCCCTCTTAATACCATCTTGTTAATTTAAGTGCAGAAAGGATCCATATACATTATTTATCTTCTGACTGAACAGTTCAGTCTAGCACATAGTAAATCCTTTGTGAGCTAAGAAATTTTCATCATGCTAAACTCAAATATCATTTTTAGCCCAGACCATCTTGGAGATTCTGTTTTTCCACACTCACTGCAGTGTTCCTTTCAAGTTTATTTTTATGACTTTTCACCAGGTTGTTATAAAATCTCAAACAGTTTATTATTGTGGGTTCTTTGAAAGTACTTCCCACAGCTGTAATGTGAAGATCTTTATCTCCTTTATGTATTAATTATATGCAGCCTGGCATTTTTTCCTGCCACAGAACTATCTTCTGCATATGTCATTTGTCCATTTACTTCAAAAGGAGCTCTTTTTGAGAGTGTAGGAACAGAGGTAAACTTAGGGTGTGAGAGTCAGAACCTTGATGATGCTTATATATGCAAAGACATACATGTACTTTAAAATGGAGAAAAGTTTATCATCTTCAAGTGGATATACATTCTGAAAAATATTTGAGATAGGAGCAGTAAAGATTTTCACCTTAGGGAGAAGGGCTGCCTACAGTAATATTCCTGGGAAGTCCAGACAAATTTTTTTGGTAGCACTGAGAGGTGAACCTACCAGCACCCTCCTGCTGGCATTTTCTCTGAGCTGGGCATGTCTGCATGAGTACAGCAGGACTCAGTGTGCACAGGGCATTTCTGAAGCCTCTTGATTCAGGCTTTGCTTTTCCATTTATCCCCCATTAGCTGTGGTTATTCGGCCATCATTGTATGTTCTGTGAATTTTACTTTATGATTTTACAACAGAATGCATTGTAAACAAAAGGACCATTACAGGGGAAATGATATTTGATAGTTAAGGAGTGTAGTGTAGTTGTTAACAGTGGAGAGCCTGAGCCTGGGTGCTTAGGTTTAAATCATGGTTCTTTCACTAACTAAACTTGAGACAAATTACTTAACCTTTTGTGCTTCAGTTTCCTCATCCACAGAGTGAAGACTATAAGAAACAGTAGAATCTACCTTTTGTCATTATTGTGAGGATTAGTGAGTATAAGTAAAGTGAAGGAGTACTGCTGCCTGGAGCACATATAGTAAGAGCTGTGTGAGCATTGATCGTCATTACCTCAGAGACTGCTGGTTCCCCTGCCCTGGAAGAACAGACACAGCTTAGTCGAGGAAGACAATGAGTGTCTGGCACTTCAGAGAAGAATGACTTGTGTAATAACATTCTAGAGTAACAGAGCATGGCTTTGTACATTCTTAATCTTCAGACTAGTCTTTCATACTTTAGCACCCTGACACCCATTCCCTTTGAACCCCTTCCACTTCAACACACAAAAAAGGAAAAGAAAATAAAGCATCAGTGTGATCACCAAGGAACTCAGGGCATCTTACATGTGTACAGTCAGACTGTCATGACAGTAGTAGCAAACATGATGTAGCACCATGTCCCAGGCACTAACTAAGATCTTCACATTTGTTAATGCTTTTAGTCCTTACAGTAATCCTTTGAGGTAGGTGCTATTATTATAATCCCATTTTACAGATAAGGACCACAGGCACAAACTGCCATAGCTAGAATGTGGTAGAACTAGAATTGAAGCCCAGGCGCCAGCAGCTGCAGAGTCAGGCACCTTTAACCTCTGTACATTCCTACTTCTCATTCAGTTGAGAACGTCCCATCTAACATCTTGTGGTCCCCGAGTCCCTGGAAATACAACAGGTTTCCAGTCAGAAGCCAATAAGTTGTTTTGCTTAATAATAGACCTAGAAAGCTAACCAAAAATCTTCAGAGATAGAGAAAGAATTTTGCTAAACGTTTACTTATAGGTAGTTACTGTCAAATTGTTGTTGTGAAGATGATTTTTATTTTATTTGCAGATGAGTTCTCTGCATAGTTTTCAGAGTTTATATATTCAAATCGCTTGGGGTTTTGTGTGTGTCTGTATGATTTCTACTGTTATTTTCATTTCCATTTTATTTCCCTGTACGTTATGAGGTAAGATGTAACTCTTCTTTTCTTCCAGAATAAAACAAAACAAATTGCCAGCACCAGTTATTGAATAATCTTTCTTTTCCTAGTGATGTGTGATGGTATATTTTATTATATACTAAGCCATACTGTTCTCTTTTCATAATAGTAGCATAGTATTTTTGTTTTCTTTTCACTTTGTAGTGCATTTTGGTATAATGTATGACTAGTATATCAAGTTTATCTTGTTAATGTTTGTAAAGGTTTCCTTCAATTGAATTGTATTTATAATTTAATTAAATGTGTATATTTTATAATGAATGGATGTGAATTTTACCAGATGCTTATTCTATATCTGTTGAAATGATCTTATAGTTTTTCTTTTTTAGCTGATGATGTCTTATACATTTCAGAAGAAATTCCTGCTTTATAATACTCAGTTACCCCATCTAAATGTGTTGTATATATTCCACTCATAACCATAATCATCTCTCAGTAATATATTTTTACTTTCTTTAGTTTTTATACATTTATACATTTATTAATAAGATTATTCCTGGATATCTTGTGCTTTTGTTTGCAGTAAAAACATGTTATTGCTGATAGTCTTATAATTTTTAACCTTCCTATGGTGGTTTATTGTGCCAGGTATAAAAGAAAAGAAAAAACCAATGAACTCTGCAAAAGATAGCACATCTCCAGAGGAAGAAGCTGAAATTGAAAGACAAAAGGTAAAACATGGTCATTGTTACATGCTTAGTGGATAATTGATAGGTACAATTTAAATGAAGTCCACATGAGTTTTAGTGTCCCTAATATAAAAATAACTGATTTTAGCACTTAATTACATACTTTACAAGCATAGTGATGAAGTACCACATTTTTCACCAACATTTCACCAACTAGTACAAAATTAAAATTTACCTCAAACCCAAGACATGTCCCTTTGTGATTAAGAGGAAAGTGTCTCAATAGTAAAAACTCTTACTATCACTGAGACAAAAACTACTACAATTAAAACCTCAGAATATTATTGCCATAAGTTTTAATAATGTAATTTTAATCTGTCCTTAATATAGACTTTGCCTTTATGGCTTATCAAATGTTAATTTCTCTCTTTTTATTGCAAACCACATAAATTTAATGTATAAAATCAAAATCTTTGTTGGCATGCAGTGAACCTTATGCTTCACTGACCTCCAGAGTTCCATGGTACAGAGTAATAATAGGGCTTTGCTGAGGCAGGAATTGGAGTCATCATCCCTATGACTGCTGTTCATCCCCTTGTCTGGGAGCGGGGCTGACTGGGCACCTAAACTCTGCATCTTAGAGCATATTTTCTAGTCTCCATTTATTGCATATGCAGTTATGCTCGTAGAGTTAAAAAGCAGAAAGAAAATCTCTCGTGTGGAAATTGGCTCTGAAAGAAAGCCAACTTCAGGGGCCAGTGATGGAGGTGAAAGGAAATTAAAGCAGTCCAAGTGGTATATAGGAAGATTTACAAAAGTCTGGCAGAATACTTAATATTTTTTCCAGTCTTCATGGTTGCTTAATAGGTTCTCGAGGGTTCACGTTTAATCCCATAGTCAGTAGAAAATAACCTAATTAGTGGAAACAGACATTAGATTTCAGAAGCAAATATTAAGATCCTACCTTCATAGAAATGTCTCAGTATTGAAAAAGCAAGGCAAAGGAAGCAAAAGAAAAGAGAGATTCCTTGTTATTAAAGCACATCTTTTGGAAAACCTAGTTTGTGTCATACAAAATGCATGTTGGCTGGATTAGTATCACTGCTTAAGAAGACCAAAATGAAAATGAGAAATTTTTGTTGGGGACTCATTTCCCACAGCCTACTAACAAATTACACTAAGGAAATGTCTGTTTTTAAATATAAACTTTCACCCTTCTCCTGCTCTTGGCAAGGTTGCTTTCCTAGAGGGAGTGTCTGTGCCCCATACCCCTGTTTGCAGGGGTGGGGGCACTGTTACATAATTGAACCTTTATTTTCTCTCCATAGGCTGAAATGGCTTTGCTCATGATGGATGAGGAGGAAGAAAGCAAAAAACACTTCAATTACAACAAGATTGTGGAGCACCAAAATCTGAGCAAAAAGAAGAAAAAACAGCTTATGAAAAAGAAGGAATTATTAGAGGATGACTTTGAGGTAAAAGGGACAAAAGTCACTAGCTTCTTAAAAATGGTATTAAATCTAAAGTCAGCTATAGAGATAAAAATTGAGCATAGCCAAAATTAACCTTTAAATGTCTTAGGAAAGGCTCATAGTGGAGCCAAAGCTGCCATCTTTTAGTCCAACACAGCCAGTTCATCCCCAGGTAGTCTTTGAACACCAAGTAAAGTAGTTGGCTTATATTCTGGTAGCCAATTGCACCAAAAATATGTAGCTTCTAACATTAGAATCCCACGTTAAGGTATTCACTTAATTATCTGTATAATTAAGCCCAGCTGAAAAATAGCAGATTCATGGCACACGTGTCACATTCTCACTGTGTAGTGGCCAGGGCATCGGCCATGTTTTCTTAATTGTTGTTTCTTGTTTCCATTGCTCCCTCTTTTCCCTCATTTTGCTAAGTACATATTCCTAATGGCTATACAGTCCCTATGTACATGAGTTTAAGCCCTGTGCAGAAAACCTATAAAGAGCTATCAGAAACTTCTTAATGACTTCCACCTGTTAGCATGGGAGAATATATATATATATAAAAGAACATGGGAAATTTTGAATTTGTTTAAAGAATACAGAAGCGCATGCAGGTAACTTCTAAGTAGCACATAGAAGGACTTGGAAACCACTCTATCGCTCCATTTTCTGTAAGCTAGCTTCATGTATGTTACTGTTCCACAAAATTTCTCAGTGAATTGGTTTTCTTATGAAAAGTTAGAAGCAAAGAACAATTTGTAATCAAATCTATTGTGAGAACTTTCTTCACACATTAATCATCATGCCAAGAATGTTATTCATGAGTGTTTGGTGGTGGTGGCCCACTGTTGTCTGTTGTCCTTCCTGTAACTAAGTAGCTACACAGTCCATCTCTAGGTGGGCTCATCTTTCCACTGGGATGTCAGAAGCAGTGAGTCATGCTCACCCCCATGCCTGGTAACACTTGGAGGCCTGGCTGCGGTAAGGGTATATTCTTATGTGTGGAACCACAGTATTTTCATAGAAAGATCTTAGGGCTTATGTCTGACCAGATCTTGGTCTCAGGTGTCATCTTTCCCATTGTGGTCTTTAAATCTCTTAATCTATGAATCAGCCTCAGTAGCTACTTATGTGGCACAAAGGTTAAAAAATTTTGTAATGTATTTAGAATGCTGGGACTTTACATAAAACTCCAGCTGAAGGTACCATCACTGACTTAATTATCCATCCAGAAACACCTTTCACACTAAGCATGGGAAACCCACCTGGGAACCATTCCCACAGTGGTCTAAGTGGCCAGTGTAGTTGCAGGCTACTGTATATATAGACCACTGTCGTTCCCTTTCAAGGAGATTATCACTGCTTGATCAGAATAGTGTGCCCTGCACACTGTGGTCCAAGAATAGGCCTTAAAACTCCAGTGAAGATCTGTGGGAAAACAATTTGCTAATGAATCAATATAAAATGCTCACATTTGTATTTTATATAATCAATAACTCACTGACTTGAAATTTGGCCTCATTTCTGTACTGTTTGGTTTACTGATTTAATATATTCATATTTTCCTTTTGGACTTGCAGGTAAATGTTAAGGATGCACGGTTTCAGGCAATGTATACTTCCCACTTGTTCAATTTGGATCCTTCAGATCCTAATTTCAAGAAAACAAAAGCTATGGAAAAAATTCTTGAGGAGAAAGCCCGGCAGAGAGAACAAAAAGAACAAGAACTTACTCAGGCAATAAAGAAAAAAGAAAGTGAAACTCAAAAGGAGTCACAAAAGAGGTCCATAGATCCTGCCTTGTCAATGTTGATTAAATCTATAAAAAACAAAACAGAGCAGTTTCAAGCAAGAAAAAAACAAAAAGTCAAATAGCTGTATGTTGTTTCTTTTTGGATTGAGGATGTGTTTTCCTAACGTATATGGAAGTGTTAGGAAGAATTGGCAACAAAGCTACCTTTCAAGAATATGAATAAATCTTAACTCTGATCATTGTCAAATCTCTCTCCATATGTAACAGTTAGACCTAATTGTGGATGACTGACAGATTTGCACTATGTAACCACAGTTAACTACAATTAATTCAATTGATCTGAATAAGATTTGTAAGTTTTTTTATGTTTTATGAAATCAGTTCATACTAATAGAAATCACTCTGTTGGTTGGCTTATATTAAAGAGTGTTTACAATTCTATGTAAAAAATAGAGAAGTGCCTAGTCTCAGGTCTGAGTAAGAGTTAGGAACAATTTGAAAATATATATCTAATAGATTAATTTCTCTAGAAACAAAAGGCAGGTTTAGCTATCTATTTAAATAATCTATTTTTCTTGCTATAACTGATCAAAGTCATAACTTTCTTTGTTGTTCAGTCATGTTTGTTACCATTTGTTTATGAAATTAGTTTGTAAATAAAAGTGTAAAAAATTTTTATCTGTATAGCATTGATTTTTTTCATTCTATGCACCTCAAATAAACTTCTCTGGAAAAAGTATCTGAAAAAAACTAACTTTTTAAGAGGACAACTCCATAAAGAGGCAGTTTCAGGTTTGCATGCGTTTCTCATAATTGTACTTGAAATGTTTGTGAGTTCTGCAATGATTTTTCTGTTTGTAATAACAAAATTCTGTCTGCCCTTCACATTTTTGGAATGCTTGGAAGAGTAGATATGCTGCTATTTAGTTCAAGGAATCTTAATTCTTTTTAAAATTAAATTAAAGCACACCTTTAGTCCTTAATACTCCTGTATTTCATCTTGTCTAGGTTTTATATAGTAGTAACTGACCACTTAGGAGAATTAGGTGTGCTGTGTAACTAAATGAAAAACCATAACAGTCAGTTGGAACAAATGATTAAGTATGGTAGCTTCTAAAAGGCAGTAGGAATTTGTCCAGGTTAGTGGTTAATAGTAAACTTGACAAAAATTCAAGCCTACCAATGTGTGATATATGTTTTAAGGATGTAAGACCTAGTGATAATAAGGGCATCTAAACAGTCTCTGAAAGGGGAAGAATAAAAAAGACATTTAAATTGCTCACTATGGCAGAGAAATATCAGTATTGTGCAAGGAATTGTGTTTTTTTCACGAAGCACTGACATTGTTAGGTAATTCAGCCAAATCAGTGTTTCTGTTGATTTATATGTGAACTTCCCTATGTTTATCTACTCCCCACTGAAAGATTGTGCATCTTAATATACTTATGAATATAGTCTATAAACAGTTGTATAGTTACTCATATTTTACTTATACAAGGAGAAGACTTGTTTCTTTTAAACTGTTTAATCATAGTGTAGCAATTATTCAGTTTGATTTCAGGGTTCTTGTGAAACTTAGCCCTTTGGTTTTTGATTGGTTTGGTCTGGGTTTTTGTTTCTGAGCCCTTTATTTTTAAGTCATAGTATTTAACTTAATTCTCATTTTCCTAGTCAGGCATGTAATTGATTATAACAAATAAATTGGGCATGTAAGTCATGGACAGTCCTGGCTCCTTTTCTCAAAGAGTTGATGTTTTTTAGGTAGAAAAAAATGAGAATAGCATTATCAGATAGTGCATTAGACATTCTATACCAAGCATGTTAGATTCTCAACAAATAATTGCTGGTAGTAAGACTCAGGATAAAAAGTGGTCAGTGTCAGACTTGAGCAAACAATGTGAGGGTAGTTTGGGTGACTCTTAAGGTAACACTTACTTGAATTTTTGTCATTGGTATCCTTGAAACCAAAACCAGACAAATAAAACTACAGACTGGTACTCATTGTAGTTTGTAAAAATGTGATTGCTTCTGGAGTCTCAACCTGTCTCATGAATTTAGGCATAAAAATCCTCAACAAAATATTAGCAAATTGATGGATAAAAAAAAAACCATATACCATGACCAATGGAGTTTAACTCCAGGTATGCAGGTTCATTCAAAATAAACCAAAGTAATCTACTGTATCAACAGGCTAAAGAAGAAAAATTTTATGATCATACCATTGATGAGAAAAAGTATTTGACAAAATATAGTATCTATTCATGATAAAAACAAGTTTGAAGTAGAGGGGAGCTACCTAACTTGATAAAGAGCATCTATTAAAAAAATCCTGTACTTAGCATACTTACTAATGAAGGACTGAATGCTTTCCTCCTAAGACTGAGAATGAGGCAAGGCTGTCCTTTTTCTGTTTTGCATTTATTTATTTTTTAAGGTTGTCTGTTTTAACTGTATCTTTTATCTTCTGTATTCTGATACATTGACCACTGGGTCCTTACTGACCCTAGAGAGACTACCCCTCCCAGGGCTAGCCAGTTCCTAGAGATAGTAAAAGACTTGCAGGCGAGCTCACCTTTCTAATGCCAACCAACCAATCAGAGCCCACACTGCCAGCACCTCCTTTATTGGGCTTTCACACTCTGGGCCACCGTCCCTCAGCCTCATCACCATAGGGCCACAGGCACCCGACAACTAGGGACAGTCCATAATACTGTAGAACCTACTGAAATTCAAACAGGCAAACCCTAAGCCTGCTTGCTCTGCCTTGCCCATCCCTTCCCAAAGGAACCACAATAAAGGCTCTTGCCTACGTTTTTCCCTGTCCTCTCTTCTTCCTGACCCATCTCAGTATTTCCCTGTGTAGCCCCCCTTATGTGGCATGCTGTGCTTCCTCTTCCTAGGAATGTGAGTATAAAAAACTTCCATTGTGACAGTCATTTCCGTGTCTGCATATCTTGCCACATCTGATTAAAACAAATCCCAGGTACCCTTTAAAAAATGTCCATTCTCACTACTCTTATTCAACACAATATTGGAAGTTCTAGCCACTGCAATGAAACAAAAAAAGTGTACAGATTGGAAAGGAAGAAATACAATAATCCCTATTTTCAGATGGTGTCATTATCTAAGCAGAAAATCCCAAGGAAAACAAACAACCCTCAAACTGATAGCTGAGTTCAGCAAGATCACAGGATACAGCAGCACACAAGAATCAATCACATTTCTGTATACTGTGCTAACAATGAACATGTGGAAACTTAAATTAAAACAATTTTTTCCAAAGAAAAGGACTAAACTTTTCATACGTGGAACAACTTGGATCTTCGGTAAATCTCCAGAAATAAGGCTGCAAAAAGCCAGTCTCAAAGGGTTACATTCTATATTACTATATAATTCCTTTTATATGACATTCTTGAAATGACAAAATTATGGAAATGGAGGGCAGATTAGTGGTTGCCAGAGGGTAAGGAAGGGGAGTGGTATGAAAGGAAGCAAGTGAGGTTTTAACAGGGCAACATGAGGAATCCATATGGTGATGGAAATGTTTTGTATCATAACTGGTAGTGGACTTACACACCTACACATGTTATAAAATCTTCCAGAACTAAATCCACACAAATGTCTATCAGTGAAACAGGAAACCCGAATGAGATCAAATGGACTGTGTCAATGTCAGTATCCCAGTTGTGGTATTGTGCTATTATTTTACAGCCTATTATCTTTGAGGGGAAACAGGGTAAAGGGTATACAGAATCTCTGCAGTATTTCTTACAACTGCATGTGAATCTACAATTATCTCAAAATAACACATTTAATTAAAAATCATTTGGCAATTTTTGTTTGAGTCTATTTCTGGATTCCATCGATCCCATTAATGTGTCTGTCCTCTTGCCAACACTTCTCTATTTTCATTTATGTAACTTTATAATAAGGCTTCCAACTTCGTTCTTTCTAAAAGTTGCTTTAGCTATTCTAGTTCCTTTGTATTTCCATATAAATTTTGAATTCAGCTTCTTGATAACCTATGAAACCTTGATAACCTGCTGGAGTTTTGATTAGAATGGTACTGATTCTATAAATTGGTCTATGAAGAATTGACATATTAATACTACTACTGAATCTTTCTGAATCATAAACATGACATATCTCTTCATTTGTTTAGGTCTTTCATTTCTTTCATCTGTCTTAACAATTTTCAGAATAAAAATCCTATGCATTCTTTTAGATTTATACCAAAGTATTTCATTATGTTTTGTGCTATTGTAATGGTACTTTAAAAGTTTGTTTATTTCTCTATTCCTATTGAGGTATAGTTGACATATTATTAGTTTCAGGTGTACAACATGATGTAATATATATATATACCTTATAAAATGCTCACCATGGGAAGTGTAGTTACCACCTGCCAACATAGAAAATTATTACAGTATTATTGCCTATATCCCCCATGCTGTACTTTCCATCCTCATGACTTATTTATGTAAATGATACTTTTTGTTTCAATTTCCTATTATTCATTACTACAATATAGACATACCATAGATTTTTATCTATTGACCTTGTGTCCTACAACTTTGCTTAAGCTCATTTGTGAATTCTAGAAGCTCTTTGTGAATCAAGATTTTTCTCCATAGATAATCATGTCATCTGTGAATAGAGACAACCTAATTTCTTCCTTTCTGCTCTGTATATCTATTAGTTCTTTTTCTTGCTTCAGGGCACTTGCTAGAACTTTCTGTGCCAGGTAGGGACTGTGAGAGTCAACTTTGCTGGGTTGTTTGTTCCCACCTTAGGGAGGACCATTCATTCAGTCTTCACCAATTCATAAGGATGCCCTTAATCAGGTAAAAAGTTCTTTTCTATTCCTAATTTTCTGCTGAGTTTTTAATCATGAAAGGATTGAGTATTTTTTAATGCTTTTTTCAACAGTTACTGACTTGAGTGTTTTTTCTTCTTTAACCTATTAATGTGGTGAATTACATGGATTTGATTTTGAAATACTGGCCTAGCTTTGTATGCCTGGCATAAAGTCCACCTGTGACATATTATCCTTTTTATGTAGTGTTGATTTTGATTGCTATTATTTTGTTGAGTATTTTTGAAACAGTCTTTGTGGATATTGCTCATTAGTTATCTTGTGATGTTTTTGTCTGGTTTGGATATCAGGGTAAACCTAGCCTCATAAAATAAGATGAGCATTCCTTCCTCTTCTGTTTTATGGATAATATTGTGTAGAATTGGTGCTATTTCTTCTTTAAATATTTGACATATTTGCAATGAAACCATCTAGCCTGCAATTTCTTTAATAGATAAGAAAATAGCTGCTTCTAGGGACATTTCTTGAAATCATCAGACTAGTAAATTTTGCCTCTTGCCTTCTTCCCTTCTCTCGCTCTTCTGCCTGGAGTGCAGATCGAATGGCCAGAGTTCTGGCAGCCATCTTTGATCCTGAGGGCAAAAGCCTCACTTCATTATCCCATTAACCAGGGATAATGGATGGTGAGCTGGAAAGAGTTAGGATGCCTGAGGATTTCATACAGCATGGTCACCATATCACGGACTTTTTCAAGACTTACGTGACCAAAAAATAACATATTACCTCGTTTAAGCTGCTATTTTCTTAGGCCTCTGTTACTTGCTTCTCTACCTATATCCTAACTAATACAAAGACAAATA